GGAGCAGTTGGAGGGAGGGGGATGAGGACAGGGCACCAAGGTGGGGAGGAACCTAGACCCTCCACTGAATCCTACAGCTCACCACTGAATTCACAGCACAGAAAACACCTCTAGTCCAACAACCCCATGGGGAGGTATGCAGAGTCCATGGTCCAAAGGGGCAGGTGGATGAGCGATGGGCTGGGGCAGTGAAGACAACAGCAGGCTCAAGAGGGGAGAGGTGGCAGAAACTTCCTCCTACCCCTGGGAGGAGATGATGGGTGACTGATATTGATGTTGGTGATCATGGCATTCAGCTCCCGTCTGGAAGGCCAACAATGACAGGCAGAAAGAACAGAAGGGGAGCCCCCACTCCAAGCCCAGCATTGCTTGAACAAAGCTATGACTATACCAATCCCTCCAACTTCCTAAAAGCTCTGCCTGTTTCTATTAATATAAATAAAATTTTATTGGAACACAGACATACTCATTATTGCATGTATGGAGTGTGGCTGCTTTTGCCATACAATGACAGACCTGAGTGGTTGCTACAAAGGCTGCATGGTCTGTAAAGACTTACTGGCCCTTTACATTAAAAATGTACCAATGACTGCTATAAGGAAATCCCGTTATCTTGTTACTTAAACCCTTTTGTAGTCTTCATTGGATGATCCCATAAGACAATACTCTTATTTAATTACGTGAAACCCTTTGTAGACTATAGAGTATGTATTATAAGGTAGTATGGTTCTTGGATGGTCTGTAAAAGTATGGCAGTGGCCCAAAACAAAATTCACTGGTTGGCAGAAGTTAACTGGCAATACTCACAGTGTCAACGTTTCATTGCACAGTCCCTGAAAAGCATTCACAGGGATTGTAGTCATGTAAGGATTGTCTGTAATTTCACTGCAAGAAAGAAAGACAAAAACACTTGATGAAAAAATGCCTTCCTCCTGGATCTGGGCTCTTGCTGCACATATGCACTTAAATAAGTAACCCGACATGGTACCACTTGATCGTACTTCTTTTTAAGTTTCATTGACCTTTCTTAACCACTGGTGGCTCAGAGGTCTGGTGAGGTGGTGACAGCCATGCTAGATGGACATATACCCCTAACCTTAAGTGTGTGGTAATCGAGGAAGATTTGGGTGTGGGCTGAGGTCCCTGACTTAATCCTCATCTCAGGAGAAGCAGACAGATCTCTGAGGCTGCTTCTGAATCTGCAACACCTTGTCCATAGTAAATAGAGTTTTCTACATGCATGGAACCTCTAAGAAGGTCGGGAGACAGTTGTTGTCTGCTTTGTCAAAGATCAGTTTGTTGTAGGTAGATGGTTTTATGAGGTCTGTCTGGAAAGTATCCAGCCATATAATATGATAAATAGAGACATGTATTGAAGAAGATACAAGATACGATATACAGGAAACATTGTATATAAGACAATGACGCCTCAGTCCCCTTCAAAGTAGGCACCTGGGACCTCACACAGTTCTCCCAGTGTCTCTTAACCTAACTCATACACATTCAGCATTCTCAGGTGTTCTGCTTGTTGCAGGCCTTCCAGAATGTGGATCACTTTCAACAGGTTCTCAGCCATCTTGGAAGCGATTGTGCCACACTTTTATTTGTGCTGCACTCTGCATCGTACCCAAAAGCCTTCTGAATCATCCAAATAGTTGAATAGAATGTTCAAGCTTAAAGCAAAATTTGATGCAGACTCGTTGCTCTACTTGCTCAGCCATTTTGCATGTGACGGCCACACAGTACACATGCTCACTCAATGGCATCTAGCTCCCCACTGACTAGTATAGTGAAGGTGTCATTGTTCATGCATGCTCAATCCAGTACATTCCCCTTGGCTGTCAGGTTACATCGATATCACACAAACCGTTCTCCTTATGTTAACAATGGCTGGATAATTTTCAGACAGACCTCGTATATCTGGGTTCTCTGTTCTGTTCCATGGGTCTATGTCTCTATTTTTGTACCTCTGACATGCTGTTCTGATTACCATATCCTTGTAGTATAGTCTGAAGTCTGGATTTCATTTCATGATGATTGCTAAAATGTCCTCCATGTGCCAAACTCTGCTAGGCAGATACTCCTGGAGAACCTTTCTATGCCAATCTAGTTCATGGAAGACTGCTTATATTTTGAACTGAGCTTTTCTACAGCAAAGAAGCATGGTTTTTTTCCTATCAAAACCCCAGGAGTTCAAAGCCTATCACTCCGCCTTTTGCTGCCTCTGTAGTGCAAACTCAACTTATAATTCTCTCTGCATATATCCTTTCGCTCCTGTACAATTAGGGAAGGCAACTGACTCGTGTCACAGGTTTTGAAAAAGAGCACATGGCCTTCAATCAGAAGTCACAGGAAGTAGTTTGAACACTACTCCTAAGTGCTCCTCAGGACTCTGCTGAGACAAAAGCACTTAGGTTTTCTATTCCTCAGTTTCCTTATTTGTAAATAAAAAGGCAGCAACTTCCTTTTTTATTTTATAAGGCAATTTGAGTGGACCAAATGTGATGCCTGGGAAAGTGTTTATAAAGCTACTAAAAACTACATGTGAAATAAGGTATTGCTATCACCAAATGCTCCTTCTATTTGATCATTCCCATCAGCAAATATTCCATGATTTCCTCCATTTAAAACACACACACACACACACACAAAATCTTTTTCCTGACCCAATATCTTCCAACTACCGAGATATTTTCTGCCCCCTTTTAATAGTAAAACTTCTCAAAAGAATTTGTTATGGTTGCTCTCTCTAATTCTCCCCTCCAATTCTCTCCCAACGATTCCTCCACTGGAACTCTTCTTGTCAGAATCACCAGTGCCCCACATCACTAAACCCAATGGCCATTCCTCAGTCCTTGCCTTAGTTCACCCATCAGTGCAGTCACAACCAGTCACTGCTTCCTCCTTGAAACAATTTCTTTCCCGGCTTCAAACAAACTCCATGGCTGCCTCCTAGTCTTTGTCAGTGGTGAACAGAGTATTGCCAAACATTGCATGCGTGCATACTTACAGTATAAAGAATACATCAGTGGAATAAACTTTGGTCAGGTCAGGGAATATTCTAAGTCCAGTGTTGAAAATGCCACTAAATTAATGAAAAAAAGAAAAAAAGGGCAGAATTTAGGTAAGAAAATCAACACCTGGGGAGTAGAATAATGTCTTAATATTAAACATTTTGCCAAGAATGGCTTTCCTACAGCAGTGACCCAAGAGTGCCATTGTCGCAGTACCATTTTAAAAATGTGTGCAGAAAAAGAGGGGAATCCGTCAAAGACAATGTCTTTACCTTCCAAATTTTGTGCCATACAGGGAAAAATGTCAAGATTAAAAGATGTGCATGAAACAGCATGAACACAAAAATGCTCAGGCTCCTGATGGCTCTCAGATTTAGTTGGTTTAACATTTGTCACAGCTACTAGAGTGTAGGTAATAGAAGCAGAAATGTTTTTTGAGAGGCTTGGCATATCACAGGGTGAGACCTAGATAATACCCAGCAATGCTTTAGAGAAAATCTTCTAGTAGAAAAACTCTAGT